CATTCCTTTCCTTTTTCATAAATATTATATACAAATACATTGTATTTTAAATAATCCAACTAAAAACCAATATTACCATAATACGACCTTACGCCATTTTTGCTCTCTTACTTCACTTCTGTATACATATATATGTATGTACATATGTATATGCAAGCTCATGTTGCTTATGTTTGTAATTTTACTGTCAATCATCAAATTCAAATCAAATTTAATTGACACATTTCGCATTGCAATTAAATTGAAAAATGCAGAGCAAAAAAAAATAAATAAATCAACACATAAATTTGCGCATCGCATTAAAAACTCGCAGAAAGACATACATACAGATGTATAGGAATGAAAATAAACAGACGCATACATACTTACATTAAACGACAAAGCTTCCCAGTAGGAAAGACTCTAGGTAATGCCACTATGGTAGGTTAATTTGTACAAAGAATGCAGCTTTCAAACTCACTCTGGTGGAAATTAGAAATATTAGTTTATTGAGAAATAACTGTGTATAATTAAAAAAAAAAGTATAATAATAGTATGAAGCTCATTCGAACAGGAAGAATATATAAAAAGAGAGGATGGGAAGTGGTAGAAAAGAGGGGTGGTTGAGTTTTTAAAGGTTTATCTTAATATCCAGAAAAACTACAAGTCCTATGGAAAAAAAGTTGAATAGCAAATTTTTAGGTAATAAGAAAAGGATCTACAACTACAATTTTCTATCTACAACTTTTTGTCTACAACTTTCGGTATAATACAATTTGTTGATATAACCTCAAAATTTGTGTGAAAAACTCAAATAACCAAGTTTTTGGTTTTTTATTTTTATCTTTCACAAAAAATTTATTTTGCACTAAATTTGGGATAAAGTAACCCTTTTATGCCTCAAGCACACTATAATTTTTTTTTATTTGAGTTACTTATTTTGATTTAATATATAAAAAAGACACAAATTTTCAATTGAAAATTTTCCATTTTCAACGGCTTTAGCCCTGGTCTAATATACATATCTTCGGGAGAAAAAAATAAAAAAATTTCTTCCTCGAAATTGCATAAGGCATATCTTTAAAGTCATTTTAATATTAAAATTACTTAAGTTTGTAATCTATCAGGAAATATTTGAGTTTTAAAAGTTTCATACACTCATTTCTACTATTGTTGAACTCTAATTATTAAATTTCGAACTGATTTGAGTGGTCAAAAAGTCAATATTTGAGACACATCTTATTAATCTAGTCGTTAAGATGTTGAATATTAGTTTATATAGGTAATATATAGTGGATATAGAATGAATTCGGTATCATACACTTTTTCTGTATGAAATATAGGAGCATATTTTGGAATATCAATGGTTAACAGTGCCTTAATGTGAATTTAAAGAGAAAATTAATTCAGAGAGATCAATTTTAAAGCACTGCTTGAGACTGTACAATTCTCATAAACACAGAGAAAAAAAATTTTAACATATATTTATTATGTTAAAAACCTCCTCAATTTTATACAATAATTTTTTCTATTACCTGTGTACTCGAAAGCAACGCATCGATCTATATTTTTGATTTTAAAATCATTATATTAGTATATAAAAAAAAAGCGTCTGAAGTCCTATATTCTACAGGGCAGCAAACTTAATGCATGTACATTTGCTCAGAAGACTGCAAGTACTTGCAAGAGTATATACCTACTAACTAAGTATGAGGTTGTGTGCGAATGTTACCGCTGCAGTTTGTCTTTCGATTCCTTATACATACGCATATGTACATATATATACATACATACATAGTCATTTCTACACAACGTCTTCGACGCATTTAATATTGCCTTAGTTGCTTCACAAGCGAGCAGACATCTCAGCTCTTACGACACAAAACAACAACAACGCAGCAAATAATAGAAGAAATAAAAGTAAATAAAATTCTTCAAGTGAAATGAATTTAATTTAATGTCATTCAGAAGAGAAGCTAGAAATTTACGTTCGTGGAACGGATGTAGGCATAAATACATATGAGATGCATACATATGGATGTGTATGGGTTGTACATATGTGTAAATACACTTATTAAGAAACTTTTGCTCAGGGACTACTGAGTATGCGAAAGCTGAAGATATGTTGCAATTGTAGCATTTGAAAGTTTATTGGATGCTGTATGTCTGTTAATCGGGTTGGTAACATTGGAAAATTTTTCAAAATTAATTTTTAGTATTTTTTTGTATTTTTTATTTTCTTAATTGTTTTAAACCAGCTAAGTAGCGGGAGCGTGACTTTTAACATTTCATTGCCTGTGAAGATCAAACTGTAAGTTTGTTAATCGAGCTGGCAACACTGAAAATTTGTTGAAAATTAATTTTTGGTATTTTTTAGGAAATTGTTTAATAAAGTGATAATTTATATTAACTTTTTATAAAAACGGTAAGTAGCGGAAATAATACTTTATTGACCTGCCTTGAGTTTTTTAAAAAGTCAGTAAGGCCTTATGTTTGCATAAACACCAATATGTGGAAAAACTTATATATACATACACTCATATATCAAAACTAACAACATATTATTAGCATAATAAAATGAGACGCCAAAAAAATGTTTGCAGCTGCAACATCTTTGCATTTTGAATATATGTTGCAGGTACTTAAGCACATATTTATGTATGTATGTATGTATGTATGTGCTGAGGACACATACCATAGTTAAGACTGTTTATGCTACTAGTATTATGTATAGTAGCTTCTGCATTAGCATATATGTAAATATGTAGGTTAATAACACTTTGTCTGCATATTAAGCAGTTCACATGCAACAGAACAATAAAAAAGACAAAAAATTCAAATAAAAAAATAAAAAAAAAAAAAATAAATTTGCAGCTTTCAATGCTGCCAGCTCAGCAGCTGCTTTATTACTTTCAATCTGATGCTGTGTTTTGGTAGCTGGCAAATGAGGTTAACTAAACTCGTTTATGGTTCGCGGTAAAATAATAATAATAATAATTGCTGGAATTGTAAATTCGTAAAATTATATGTGGTAAAGGCATAAACAAATGCGCTCGCATAAAAAATTTATAAAAAAGCCGGTAAGGTAATGTAATCTTGAATTTTACATCGCTGCCGTTATTAAATTTGAATTTGTTTTTTGAAAAATAATTTTTTTTTGAATCAATTAAGTTTCACAATTTTTTGTTTTGCTAAAGGCAGCAAAAATTTGTAAAAATTGTTTTTGGAATTACAACCACAAAATGTTATTGTAAATAAAATAATAACAAAAATTTTCGCATTTTAAAAAGTTTTCATTGCATTTTGTTTTTAAACAAAAGTGTTCGAAATTAATGAGGAATTATACAAAGGTAATTAATTTGTAAGCCAATAAAAAGAACATTTACTGTTTATATTTTTTACTTGAAATTTTTTTTCTTTGGTGTTTTAAATCTTTTACTATAAACATTGAAAAAAATTCACACTTTTTTAATCGTATACTTTCATTATTTTTAAAAATAATTTGTTTCTTAAATTTTTTAAACAATGTGCTATAAATATTTGGAAAAAAAATCCAAATTTTCTTTTATTTAATTTTTTAATTTAAATAAATATTTTGAAAAATATTTTGGTTTTAAAATTTAGAAAATTGAGAATTAAATTTAAATTTAAGATTTTTTTTAAATATTATACCATAAATATTTAAAAAAAAATTGTTTGTTAAATTTTTTTAAAGACTGTGCTATAAATATTTTGGATACAAAAAATATTCTTTATAAAATTTTTTAAAATAAATATTTTTCTGTAGTAAATACCCACGATTTTTTTTATTGTGTGCTCACCAGGAAGCTATATAGTATAAGCCAGTTTATTGTCTAAAAATAATTCGCCTCGAAACTTACCTGAAAGAAAAAAGAAAAAAATATTAATTAGTATAAAATATTAAAAAAAAACATTTAATACATAATTTTGAATATTATTTTTAATTATTTGTTCCAAGTTAAGAAATATATGTATGTATATTTATACCTAAGCGATTATATGTACAAGAAGTCTTTAAGGAGAGTAAAATCAGATAACTCTCTATACGGCGCAATTAACTCAGCGCCTAATCATGAATTAGTCCTTAAATCCTGCCTTTCGGATACTTTTGGGTATAAATTAGTTATAAAGAAATTTCTCAAAAGATATAATAAGAGGTTGCTTAGTGCTAAACTGCAATCTAATATTCATAATAATAAAAATAAAATTTCCACTTTTCAAAGGATAAAGGTATAATAAAAAAATAAATAAAAAAATTAGTCGTACAATCCGAACACATCTCGAACCCATCTCGAACTCATCTCATTTTTTCTCCTTTAGTCGTGGCAACCACCTTCTGCGTTGTAACAAATTGTGCGCCGGCAAAGGAGGTGGGATAAGTTGCGGCTAAAGCGATTAAAGCGTGAAAAATTATATGTAAATGTGTGCTTATATATGTATGTATGTACGTATATTTAAGCATTAACCCGCATACAATTTTTTACTTTCTTATATGTGAATGGACACTTATGCATGAAAACAGAAATTAAGGAAAATAAATTAGGAGGAACTAAGTGCAGTGGATTTTCTCACACATGAACATTAATTTATATATAGATATTTATGTCTTGATTAGTATATGTAAAATATACTGATCGGTAAATATATTAGAAGTAGTCCATAACTAGTTCTTTCGTGGCTAGTTGTGAGATCGCTCGAAAAGGCTTAAATTTTACTCAGGATAAAGAAAAGGTGTGTTAAAAATGGCCTCTTTTCTTTTTTAAATGATTTTTTTTTTATGAAAATGTTGTATATCTGCCACGATTTTATTAGTTAATATTACTATACATATTTTTAGATTTTTTTGTAATATGTATTATAATAATTCAAGATTTATATACACTTTTGGTAAAAGAAAAAAATAATTAAAAATAAAACAAACAAAAAATTATTATTTTTTCCATTCAAATTATTTTATAATATTTCATGCAATTTAATATAGGGACAATACGGAGGACTAGTACTGCCTCCAAATTCACTACAATGTCACCAGTTCGAACAGTTTCAGTATCAATGAAGTTTTGCATAATGTTCGGCACGATGACGCGTTGCGAATGCACTTTTTCGTTTCGCGCGTCAATATGTCAAAATGATAAAAAATAATGCCGCAGTGAGTGGCAGTGGCCGATGTGAACTTAAGGCAGAGAAAAAAATGAAAGTCAAAATAAAATAACAAAACTACGAAATAATATGGAAATGCGGGGACTTGGCACAGTCAACGGCTTGAGGGCGCTTCTACGATGGTGTGTATCGTACGCTGTCTATAAATAAATGGTGAAGTTTTAGGCGAAAAATGTGTGGTTCGCGAAGTTCGAAATACTATATTGCTAGGTGCCGTCACAGCCATTTCGCGATTGTGCTAAGTGTGTAAGAACTTGCATGTGTGTGCAAATGTAGGGAAGTGCTAACTAACAGCGCGTATCAATGCGTGGCAACAGCTGCAGGGGGAGAGTGGGAACGTTGGCGGTACAGCTGGCATTAATGCATGCAAATATGCAGATTTTATTCAGCGTAAAGTGCGTCAGCGTGACAGGGAAAAATAATAATAAGAAATAAATAAAAATAAATAATAAAAGAAAAGAAATTTAGCAACAGTGTTTAGAGTTGTGTATATAACACTTGTGTATGTTATATATGCAATTGAATAGTAGTGAGAAACAGTAACAAGCAGATGTGTATAGAAATATATGTGTATATATAAATATAATATATTGCTGCACTTAAAAGGTCAATGAGTATTGAGGATGAATTTGCAATGCGTTGATGTGCAAAATAGGATATGAAAATTTTTGTAGACATGTACATACATATGTATTAGAGTGGAGCGAAAAAAAAATAATTTTTTTTTGCTTAGCCTGGGATAAAATTTGTAGGTTATAAAAAAAGAAAAAATTAAAAAAAAAAAAAATTTTTGTAACATCTAAAGGCTTTTAAAGTAATTTTCGAGTTAAAATTTTTATTTCGTAAACAATTTTTGATAAGTGTCCTCTTTCTGGGCAATTTAAAGTTATCAACTTAAAAAAATTTGTTTGTGGTCATTATTGGAGTGTTAAAAAAAGTCTTGCTTTCCTTAAGCGTTAAAATAAATTTTGAGTCAAAAACCGTCAAATTCGGTAATTTTTATATAAATGTGAAGAGTTTAAACCAAAAAAAATTTTAACTCGAAATCTACTTTATAAGTGATGTTAAAATTTTTTATTTTTTTGCCAAAAATTAATAATATAAATATTTAGCAAGGTGCTTAAGTGTTAATTTTATTATTGAAAATTTTAAAAATGAATCCCATCAAAATCCTTTTTATTTAATATTTGATATGAAAAATAATATTTTTATTTGGTACTGATTTTTTTTTTATTATCTAATTATTTTATCAATTATTAATTCTGGTTTGGCAGTTAATATAATATTAAATTTATAATAAATAAAACATTTGCAATTTTTAATTCCAATTTTTAGTTCCAAATTTTTTGATTCAGACCCTTATTTTAATTAATTAATTCAATTGTGTGTTATTTTTTTTGTTCTGTTTAATTTTAACTTAATTTCTTTTCTATTGTAGAAAAATGAAAAATTGTAATTTCGGAAAACCAAATCGGCGTTACTTGGAGAAAACTAATATATCTAACGAATGAACCTTGATTTTTCGATTTCAATAGATCCAGCAACAAATTATAAGGGACACTGAAATCCTACTTTCTTCCGAGCCACGTCCGAATAATACATAGCTGTCAATGACGCATTTTTTAATATTTCTTCATGAAAATTTTATACAACCTGCTTCGAATGTCACTTGCTATCGCCTTCTTTGCTCTCTTTCGTTTAAACTCAACAGTAAATAAGACTAAGTACAAAAGAACAAAAATAAACCACAACAAATGCATCCCTGGCACACTCACAACAACAAAACAAAAGCGTATAAAAATGATTGTAACAAACGCCAAACGGAACAGCTTAAATTAGTACGCTAACGAAGCGAATTAGAGCGCTTTGGAGCGCAACTTGTGGATCAGACAAGCTCATCAAAGCATTTGGGGCGAATTAAATTCGAGCTTCGTGGTGAGCAAATGAACCTGAACAAACTAAATGAAAAATGCAAATGCAAATAAACACAAAAGCAAAAAAAAAAAAAGAAAAAATTATATACAAAATAAAAAGAAATAAAAAGTAAGAAAACTTGCGAAATAAAAATAAGAAAGCAAAAATTTTAATAAAAAAGAAGCGCTCGTTAAGCATAGCAAATGCTTGCCACAAAGCCAGCAATAACAAGAACAATGAACTAACTTAACTTGCATACATTTGCAAGTAATATGTTTTGTAAACAACAACAACAGCAACAACATGCAACACGCTAAATGCGCACAAAAACAACGAGCAACTCTGTGTGGAGTCTCTAATGCATTTCGCCACATGGACGCTGTGTGTGCAGGCGTTGCAAGCGGCGGAGGTGGTGCCGCTGCCAGTCGTTGCAGCCGTCTAGGCAGCTTGCTTAGCGTACAGGAAATGAATTTTTTAAGAAAATTTATTGCACTTACTTTAATTGAGTGGCGATTTTTTTGCTGTTACTTTTTATTTTATTCAGTGTGCGCGTAAATTTTGCTAAATGCACTTAGGCAATGTGTGGGTGAAAGTTGAAAATGAATAAGAAGCAAGCGTGGCTAATTGAAAACAATAAGAAACTAAAGAAAAAAATTTAAAAAATTAATGCATATGCTTGAGCAACTGAAAATGAGAGTTAAATACAAAAAAGAAATGCAAATAAATATTAAAAAATGTTAAACTATTAGAAAATATATTTTTATATGTTACAAGGATATTACTTTTTTGTGCTCTCGCTTCGTGTTGCAACAGAGAGTATAATAATTTTACGCTTTACTCATTATTACTTTAAGCATTTTTGCTTTCTAAGTAATATGTGTTGATTTGGGGTCGAACAATATCATTAAATTTTTAATTGTTTTCGGAGGCCTTTTCGCACAATTCTAGTTTACTAAATTCATTAGATTTAAAGTAGAAAGAGTTGTTAAACATTCTGCTAATGGTTTGATTTTCGTTTTTCTATAAACTGTCCAGTGATTCTTTCTTCATTGAAGAAATATAACTTTTTTTAGTTTTTGAGATTTTTGAAAGATCGTCTTATTTTTTTACATTATCAGGTTTTTGATACTTTCGTAAAATCCCCAAATTCAAAATCCCCAAAATCACCAAAAACATCTTTCAGCACTGGCGGCCGTGCTTCAAAAAAAAAAAAAAAAAATTAGCCTGGTCGGTTCTACACCGGGGTTCACCGGGGTAGTTCTTTCGCTTGGAACTCCTTCCTGTGCTGTTACGTTTGAACTTTAAGGATTTTTTTGTTTTGTTTTTTGCTGATTTCAATTGTGGGGATTTTTGTAATGTTGGGGTTTTAAGTTTAGTGATTTTAATTTTGGTGTTATTTTATATTGGGGATTTTGTGTTTGGGGATTGAATTTTTCGCGGTTTCGAGCCTCTCCTGTCTCGATCTTTAAAAAGTTTATGAATATATTTATGTTAAAATTAAGTGTTTTCCAAAAAGTTATCCGGTATTAGGAACTATACATTTTTCATGTTTAAGCATGAGAACATGAACTAAAAATATTGAGCAGTAAACCCTGGTATTTTCAAGATACAATACAATAATATTCATAACAGTAAAAGCAGCTTAGGTTTAGGACTATGTACAACCCACTAACTATTCTAAAATTAGTTCGACGAAGTAGGCGAAAGATCAGAAATTTTCATACATATAAGAAATAGCTATAAATATGTCTCGAATTGGTTAAAACACAATATCTGAGACACTCTGACAGAGCTCTTTCTATTCCTCTCTCTCTCTCTCGCTCCCTATTTCTTTCTAAAACAGTATTCATGCTGAGATCGGTGATTTCGTGATATTCGGGACCTATTGCCAAGTTGAATTCATAGTGTTCTCAGTCCTACATGTACGAAGTAAATGCACATTGTTTTTACCGTTGGATTGAATGTAGAAAATAGTAAAAAATTATCTGGTAACGTCATATAACATTTATTAGTTTATATCTCAGCAAATATTTGCGAAATCATGCCGAGTATGTATGTCAACTCTAACAGCCAGGCAAAATCATTACCTACAAATTGTATATAAATATATATGTACTTATGCATACTCGCATATACATATATAGTATATATATATCTACATTTGCGTGTATTTATATCCATAAAATATATGGCGCATTACAATTTCAAATGCTTAATATCAAATGTAGGAAATCCTTAAGTGCAATAAATTTAAAATAATTACCCATTATATTTTGTGTAACGTAAGCGACCTCGCACACACACACACAAGCAAGTGCCTTGTACATTCTTATGTATAGCTGTGTGTGTGCCATTGCG